CCCCCCCCAAAATAGTCACCTTAAACTGCCCCCCCCCACTTTGGAAAAGGGCCCAATCCTGGTTAGTGCTAAAAGCAACAAAAATTCCCAACCCCCCCATCCACAGATTGAGGTCAAAAAAAGGGGGAAAAGGACATTTTATTATTTAATTATCTATATTTAATTAACTGGGGGGGGGGGGGTTTGTGACCCCCCCAAAAAAAACCTCTGGAGCTGTTTTAGGAAGAGCTGAAATGTCCTCAAAAATGGCTTTATTTTGTATTTTGGGGGGAGGTTTTGGGGTTGTAGGAAACCCTGGAGGGGGGAAGTTTTGGTGGGGATGGAGGAAGAGGAGGAGGAAGAGGAGGAGGAAGAGGAAGAAGGGGGGGGTGAGGGGGGAAGCCATTTTGTAGGTGTGACCCCCCCACGTGTGCTCATCCCCTCGTGTGTCGTTTCCCTCTTGATTTTCTTTTTTCCTGTTGAGTGGGGAAATCAATAAAAGAAACACAAACAAACACCCCCAAAAAACCCTCCAAAAAACCCCAAAATTGGATGTACTTTTTGTTTTTAACTTGGGGAAAAATCAACTCTTGGGTGAGGGGGGGGGGAGGGAATTTAAGAGGTTAAATCAACCAAAATGGCCGCCCAGGAATGACCCAGATCCTTGGGAAAATATTAATTAACATGTATTTTAATTAACTTGATTGAAATTTCCTCCACTTGGTTTAAACCTCAAGTGATTAATGAGAATTTAAATTTCTTTTCCATCTTCTAGAACCTTTAAATTTCACTTTCTTGACATTTCCAATGATTTAAAATGGAAATTATTTCAATTTAGGTTTTATTTTATTTATTTTAAAAGAAAATAATTTCTCTATTTTGAATTTTATGTTGAATTTGAGGTGATTCTTTACATTTATTTAAACTTATTTACATCTAAATATATTTAAATTGAAGATTTACAAATTGAAGTTGAATTTAAATTGGATTTAAGTTGAATTTAAATTGGATTTAAGTTGAATTTAAATTGGATTTAAGTTGAATTCAATTTGGATTTAGGTTTAGGTTGAGCTTAAGTTGAATTTAAGTTGAATTTAAGTTATCAAATTTAAATTTATTTACATTTCTTTAATTTAAAATGTATTCTGAGAGTAACTTAATTGACTCAAATAATTAAATTTAATTCCAACTGATTAAATTACAATTACCTGTATTTATCTAAATTTCAAATTTGAAATTTTATCTCTATTTCAATTTATTTAAATGTATTTTGATCAAAATGAATTGGAAGTGAAATTTTATGTGAATATAAAATTGAATTTTAAACTATTTAGGTTTAAATTGAATTTTACTGAAGTTTATGTTAATTTTAAATCCTTTAAACCCATTTGAATTGATTCAAATCTAGAGTCACTTGTCTGAATCTAGTTTATTTGCCTTAAATTTGAGTTTAAGTTGCTTAAATTCCAATTTTAAGTATGATTTGATGTAGATTTAAAGGTTTAATTTTTTAATTATTTGCTTAGATTTATTTAACTTGAATTTATTCCAATTAATTTATTTAAACATCCCCCAAAAAAGCCACTTTCTGGAGGTTTAGAGCCCTCCCCACCCTTTCCTTATGTCTAGAAATTTATTTTTTTACCCTTTTAGGCAAAAATCAAGGCAACATGGCAGAAAATTCCATGAAAATCATAAAAATCAGGGGAAAAAATGAAATAAATCTTAAAAAATCAACCCTGGGAGAGACAGAAAAAGGGACAAAAATCGAGTTGGGAGGGGGGGTGTTTGGGCCTTGCATGGTAAAAAAGAGCATCAAACCTTTATTTTGGGGTGAAAAAGCCCCTTTTTGGGGGTGGGTGGATTTGAGGGGCTTGGGAATTGATTTATTTTCCCAAGAAAACTTATTAAAAAGCTCATTATATTTAATTAAAGCTCTGATTTATTAATTAAACCCCCATTTCTGAGGGGGAAATCCCTCGGGCCTTCCCACTCAGCCTTGATTTCCTGCCCTAAATCCTATTTTTTTTACCCTTTATCCTCAATATTTCACCTTAATAATTTAAATATTAAATAATTAAAAGATTTCACCTCCAACCTGGGCCTTGAGGCAGAAAAAATCTACTTGAAAATCTCCTTTTTTTAACCCATTTTCCACAGAAATTCTGGTGTGGGAAGTGGGGGGGAAATGAGGGGGAAAAGTGGGAGGAAATGAGGGAAAAGTGGGGAAAAATGGGGAAAAGTGGGGGAAAATGAGGGAAAAGTGGGGAAAATGAGGGAAAAGTGGGGAAAAAGAAGGGAAAAGTGGGGGAAAATGAGGGAAATGGGGGGGAAAATGAGGGAAATGGGAGGAAAAATGAGGGAAATGGGGGGAAAAATGAGGGAAAAATGGGAAAAATAAAATGGGGGGAAAAATGAGGGAAATGGGGGGAAAAATGAGGGAAAAATGGGAAAAATAAAATGGGGGGAAAAATGAGGGAAATGGGGGGAAAAATGAGGGAAAAATGGGAAAAATAAAATGGGGGGAAAAATGAGGGAAATGGGGGGAAAAATGAGGGAAAAATGGGAAAAATAAAATGGGGGGAAAAATGAGGGAAATGGGGGGAAAAATGAGGGAAAAATGGGAAAAATAAAATGGGGGGAAAAATGAGGGAAATGGGGGGAAAAATGAGGGAAAAATGGGAAAAATAAAATGGGGGGAAAAATGAGGGAAATGGGGGGAAAAATGAGGGGAAAATGGGAAAAATAAACAAAATGGGGGGAAAAATGAGGGAAATGGGGGGAAAAATGAGGGAAATGGGGGGAAAATGAGGGAAAAATGGGGGAAAAATGGGAAAAATAAACAAAATGGGGGGGAAAATGAGGGAAAAGTGGGGGGGAAATGAGGGAAAAGTGGGGAAACCCCCACTTTTACCCATAAAAATGTGTCTTTATTGAAGACTTTGGCAACTTCCTGTTCCTCTGGGAACTCTTCCTTCGCGTGACGGGCGATTTTGGCGGGAAAACAGGATTTCCCCTCAGGTTTTCCTGTTCCTTGGGAGCTTTTGGCACCTGGACACACCTTGGAAGGTCCATCATGGTTCCACTTCCCCCCCATCTTGTTTCCTGCTCCTTCCTTTGGCCAAAAACTGGTGGGATGAAGTTTAGGAACCACCATCATCCATCACCTTCCCTCCCGGGTCGTCAACGGGAGGTGGAACCTTCTCCACTTCACCCCCCAAGTTGTCCACAAGTCCTGGCATCTCCAGAGCTTCCCCAACCAACCCTCCAGGCTCTTCCTGGAAGTTGGGAGATGAAGATGGAGCCACCTGAGGTGGCCCCAGCTCATTTTGGGAAGGTCCTTGGGGAATTTCGGGGTGACTTTTGCTCTTGTGGGCCGTGACGTTGTCTTTCTTCTCAAACTTCTTGCCACAGAGGTCACAGGAGAACTGGTAGGAGGACTCAGCATCGTGTTTTTTCATGTGCCAGTTGAGGGAGGCTTTTTGGCGACAGGTGAAGCCACAAATCTCACATCTAGGAGATAAAATGAGGTAAAATCAGTCCAAAATCAGAGTACCGGCCCCACCTCATCTTGGTGGGGCAGTTTGAGGTGGGAGTTGGGCAAAACCAACACTGAAGGGGCTTCAAAACACCCTCCAGGTTTGAGTCCCAACTCGTGGAGCTTCTCCAAACCCTGCTCAGCTCCACCAGGGGCAAAAAAACCCACTTTTTGGGCAAAAAAATGGAAAATCAAGAACTTTGAGACCTCTGGTTCCTCCATGAAGCTCAACTTGGGTTGAGAAGGTGATGGAGGAGAAACTTGAGGTCAACTGGAGGGAGCCAGGACTAGGAAGTCCCAACTCATGGAGCTTCTCCAAACCCTGCTCAGCTCCACCAGGGGCTGAAAAACCACATGAGGGAAATGGGGGGAAAAATGAGGGAAATGGGGGGAAAAATGAGGGAAATGGGGGGAAAAATGAGGGAAATGGGGGGAAAATGAGGGAAAAATGGGGGAAAAATGGGAAAAATAAACAAAATGGGGGGGAAAATGAGGGAAAAGTGGGGGGGAAATGAGGGAAAAGTGGGGAAACCCCCACTTTTACCCATAAAAATGTGTCTTTATTGAAGACTTTGGCAACTTCCTGTTCCTCTGGGAACTCTTCCTTCGCGTGACGGGCGATTTTGGCGGGAAAACAGGATTTCCCCTCAGGTTTTCCTGTTCCTTGGGAGCTTTTGGCACCTGGACACACCTTGGAAGGTCCATCATGGTTCCACTTCCCCCCCATCTTGTTTCCTGCTCCTTCCTTTGGCCAAAAACTGGTGGGATGAAGTTTAGGAACCACCATCATCCATCACCTTCCCTCCCGGGTCGTCAACGGGAGGTGGAACCTTCTCCACTTCACCCCCCAAGTTGTCCACAAGTCCTGGCATCTCCAGAGCTTCCCCTACCAACCCTCCAGGCTCTTCCTGGAAGTTGGGAGATGAAGATGGAGCCACCTGAGGTGGCCCCAGCTCATTTTGGGAAGGTCCTTGGGGAATTTCGGGGTGACTTTTGCTCTTGTGGGCCGTGACGTTGTCTTTCTTCTCAAACTTCTTGCCACAGAGGTCACAGGAGAACTGGTAGGAGGACTCAGCATCGTGTTTTTTCATGTGCCAGTTGAGGGAGGCTTTTTGGCGACAGGTGAAGCCACAAATCTCACATCTAGGAGATAAAATGAGGTAAAATCAGTCCAAAATGAGAGAACCGGCCCCACCTCATCTTGGTGGGGCAGTTTGAGGTGGGAGTTGGGCAAAACCAACACTGAAGGGGCTTCAAAACACCCTCCAGGTTTGAGTCCCAACTCGTGGAGCTTCTCCAAACCCTGCTCAGCTCCACCAGGGGCTGAAAAACCACTTTTTGGGCCAAAAAAGTAGAAAATCAAGAACTTTTAAGACCCTTGGTTCCCCTCAGAAGATAAATTTAGGTTGAGAAGGTGCAGGGGCAAAAAAACCCACTTTTTGGGCAAAAAAATGGAAAATCAAGAACTTTGAGACCTCTGGTTCCTCCATGAAGCTCAACTTGGGTTGAGGTGATGGAGGAGAAACTTGAGCTCAACTGGAGGGCTTTGGTGGAGCCAGGACTAGGAAGTCCCAACTCATGAAGCTTCTCCAAACCCTGCTCAGCTCCACCAGGGGCTGAAAAACCACTTTTTTGGGGAAAAAAAGTAGAAAATCAAGAACTTGGAGGCCCCTGGTTCCTCCATGAAGCTCAACTTGGGTTGAGAAGGTGATGGAGGAGAAACTTGAGGTCAACTGGAGGGAGCCAGGACTAGGAAGTCCCAACTCATGGAGCTTCTCCAAACCCTGCTCAGCTCCACCAGGGGCTGAAAAACCACTTTTTGGGCCAAAAAAGTAGAAAATCAAGAACTTTTAAGACCCCTGGTTCCCCTCAGAAGATAAATTTAGGTTGAGAAAGCGATGGAGGAGAAACTTGAGGTCAACTGGAGAGTCACTGGAGGGCTCTGGTGGAACTGGGACTTACTGGAGGGGCTTCTCCCCCGTGTGGATCCTCCTGTGGATGATCAAGTTGCTGCTGGTGCGGAAGGATCGGGCGCAGAACTCACAGATATAGTCCCTCTTGTCTGGTGGGGCAGAAGAAAGAAGGTTGAGAAGTTGGTCCAACCTAGAAGAGCAGTCGAGGACCTTCCAGGATGGATGTTTGAGGGGGTTCTGGGATGGATTTTGGGGGGGGTTTCAGGTTTTTGAGGAGCTGGATGGATCCTCAGCACCAAAATGGAGATGGTGAAGGAGAAATGGGTGGGGTGGCATCTACCAAGGTTGGACCCATGGATGGTGAGGATGTGGGGATAGTCACCTGTTGGCCAGGAGAGGTGGAACCAGCTCAGAAGAGGTGGTTTAGGGAGGTGTGTGTTGATCTAGAGGGGTTTGTGGCCACCCTGAGGACTTTGTGGCCACCTTGAGGACCTTGTGGCCACCCCGAGGTGGAGAACTCACCACTGTGAAGTTTCTCATGCTCCTTGAGGTGCTTCTTGAAGTTGAAGGACTTGCCACAGGTGGGTTCTGAGCAGGTGAAGGTCTTTTGGTGGACATGCTGGTACTTCTTGTGGTGCTGAGGGTGAAGAAGGAGGAGTTTTGAGAGGATGTTGGGAGAAGCTGCACTTGGGAGGAGGTCAAAGGACACTTCAGAGTGACCTCAGGGCCACCAAGAAGCTGCTGGACAATTGGGGCCAACAAGTCCTGGCTTTGGAGAGCTACAAGGGAGGTTTAGGTTGCCCAATTCCATCTCAAGATGGGTCTGATGGGTCCCCAAGACTCATGGTGGGTCAACAGAAGCTTCTGATGGGTCCCCAAGACTCGTAGTGGGTCAACAAAAGCTCCTGGTGGGTCCCCAAGACTCGTGGTGGGTCAACAAAAGCTTCTGCTGGGTCCCCAAGACTCGTGGTGGGTCAACAAAAGCTTCTGCTGGGTCCCCAAGACCTCTGGTGTCTCCAGAAGAACTTGGATGCCCCTGGCCCACCTCCCCAGGGTGTGAAATGTGACTGGAAGCCCATGGGTTGCCCCCTCCCCAACCCTCACGTTCAGGTACTGGAGGTTGGAGAAGATCTTGCCGCAGCCTTCGAAGTCGCACAGGAGGATCTCGCGCTTCGCCGCCTTCCTGGAGAAGAAGGTTGGAAGAAACCAAACCCATCAGCAGGAGGAGACCCAAAAAGGACATGGTTTTGGGGTTTACCACCCCATTTAAGGTCTTCCTCAACCATCTTCTCTCTTCCCCACCCACCAAAACCACCAGTTCAGGCCATAAAGCATTGGAGGAACCTCCAACAAGAGCAACCAAGGCTGTTCCACCACCTTCTCATGCAGCAAATCAAACCATCAGCAGGAGGAGACCCAAAAAGGACATGGTTTTGGGATCCACCACCCCATTTAAGGTCTTCTTCAACTATCTCCTCTCTTTCCCACCCATCAAAACCTCCACTTAAGTCCATAAAGCCCTTGAGGAACCTCCAATGATGTCCCACCACAAAAAGGCTCAAGCTGCACCTCAGCATCTTCTTCAGGGGGTTTGGGACATGGTGGCTCTTCCCCATCCCCAGAGGTACCTGATCCTCTTGGGTCCAATCTGGGCCACGTCCTCGTCCCGTGGTTGCCTCTCAGAGCTGCAACAGGAAGAAGAAACAACTTGAGTCAAGATCTTGTTCCACAATCCAAGACCTTGGTCCTCAATCCAAGACCTTGGTCTTCAATCCAAGACCTTTGTCCCCAGATCAAGACCTTGGTCCCCAAACCAAGACCTTGGTCCTCAATCCAAGACCTTTGTCCCCAGATCAAGATCTTGGTCCCCAAACCAAGATCTTGGTCCTCAAACCAAGACCTTGGTCCTCAATCTTGGTCCCCAAATGAAGACCTTGGTCCCCAAATGAAGACCTTGGTCCTCAATCCAAGACCTTGGTCCCCACACCAAGACTTTGGTCCCCAATCTTGGTCTCCAAACCAAGCCCTTGGTCCCCAGTCCAAGCCCTTGGTCCTCAATATTGATCCCCAAATGAAGACCTTGGTCCCCAAACCAAGACCTCCTCCTCCAACCTCAACCATGGGTTCCCACCAAACCCCCACGATGAAAAACCACCTTCTGGGCAACCATTTTGATTTCATCCATTTTGGGGGGAGACATTTGGGGACATTTCCCCCTTCCTGGGGGAGCAGGAAACGACGTTTTCAACAAAAGGACCTTCCAGACACCCCAAAAATAGGGAAAAAAATCTCTTCTTTATTAATTCTCATCCAAATATTTCACATCATTTTGAGGACATTGAAGAACATGGGTTGGATCAACGAAAGGTTGAGCTGGAATTTCTTCAAAACTTCAGCTGGTTTGGGTGGATTTCCTGAAATTGAAGAAAAAAGAGGTGAAAAAAAGGCAGAAATGATTAAAAGAACAGAAAATTAGGGCAAATTTGACCTCAGGATGAAATAAAAATAGAAGATGGACCTTTTATTTGTGGCCCAAAGGTCTTAAAAATCAAGTTACCTTTTGGGTGGAGAAGATGGAGGCACCAACAACTGGTCAAGTCAACTTGTCTCTTCATTTTTCCAGCTGCTGTGACCAAAAAATGGAGGAAATTGAATCAAAATGGGTTTTTTTTCACTAAGTTCTGGTTGAAAAAGGGCTTAAAATTGGGGGTGGGGCTTTTAAGGAGAGTGTGAAAAGGTCCAAAACTCAACTGGTTGGCCAAGAAAGTCAAGAGGTGTGTTCATCAGCCCCTTCCAATGGTCGTTGGGGGCATCTTGAAGGATTTTGGGGGGGGTGAAGATGAGGATTTTGGAAGGAGAACCCCAAAAATGGGGGAAAATCCCATTTTTGAATGAATTTTTGGCTTCAAGGACTATGAAGATCTAAATCTAGATCTTCTGTGGGGTCAACATGTGGTTGGGTTGGAAGGGACCTTGAAGATCGTTTAATTCCAACCCAAAGATGGAATTTAATTGGAATTTGGAGATCCTGGTTGACCCCCAAGAGCTCCATGTGGGTCAAGGAAGAGAAAAAGTCCATCTTGACCATATTTTCCTTACCTGGAGTTGGGATTTTTGACTCATCCAAGGATCTTCCAAGAAGTTCCAGAGCTGTGAGGAGATAAAAAAAAGGTGTTGAGAACCCCCCCCTAAAAAAGGGATCTTGTGAGAAGAAAAGGAATCAAAACCTTCATGGAGCAGCACGTTCCTTACCTGGGGAATTGTGGGAATTTTTTTGGTAGGACATTTGATGGCAAGATGTGGAATTTTGTGGTCGTTCCGATGGAAAATGGGGGTTTAACACCCTCAGGAGAGGTGAAAGTGGCAGAAGATCCTTCAAGATGGAAGAAGATCCTTCAAAAGTGGAAGAGGATCCATCAAAAGTGGAAGAGGATCCATCAAAAGTGGAAGAGGATCCATCACAACGTGGGTAAATCCTTCAAAAGTGGAAGAGGATCCATGAAAAACGGAAGAAGATCCTTCAAAAGTGGAAGAAGATTCTTCAAAAGTGGAAGAAGATCCTTCAAAAGTGGAAGAAGATCCTTCAAAAGTGGAAGAAGATCCTTCAAAATGTGGGTCAATCCTTCAAAAGTGGAAGAAGATCCATCAAAAGTGGAAGAGGATCCATCACAACGTGGGTAAATCCTTCAAAAGTGGAAGAGGATCCATGAAAAACGGAAGAAGATCCTTCAAAAGTGGAAGAAGATCCTTCAAAATGTGGGTAAATCCTTCAAAAGTGGAAGATGATCCTTCAAAAGTGGAAGAGGATCCTTCCAAATGGAAGAAGATCCTTCAAAATGTGGGTAAATCCTTCAAAAGTAGAAGAGGATCGATCAAAAGTGGAAGACCTTTCAAAAAAGGAAAAAGATCCTTCAAAAATGGAAGAAGATCCTTCAAGATGTGGGTAAATCCTTTCAAAATGGAAAAAGATCCTTCAAAAGTGGAAGAAGATCCTTCCAGAAGTGACTTTTGAGGCCAGGTGGGTGGGAAGGAACAATTCAAACTCAACTTCCAGCCCCCAAACAGGAGGTGGTGAATTGAATTGGTTAATTACGTTGTCGGGGTCGTTCCTTGGCCAACACTTGAGGTTGATTTGAGGTCCCTCCGTGGGTTTGAGCTGCTGGACAATGTATCTGCTGATCCATTCAACCTCCTGATGCTTTGATGTCCACCATGGGGGTGGTCCAAGGGGTCTTCTCCACCCCTCTGGGGACAATCCTGGTCCCAGCAGGTCCCCAACCACCCAGGACCAACTCATTAAGTTGCCCCATAACAAGACCCACGTGTCACACCCCCCTTCTGTGAGCTCCACCACCCAACAAAACCAAGCAGCTCTTGTCCCATGGACAATGTCACCACGAAGAGATGGATCAACCCCTCTTGGGGACACTCTTGGACCTGCCCAGAGCTCAGGGCTTGGACTTTCTGATGGTTGGGTGGTTTCCAGCTGGTTTCTCAACAGCAGCATCTCCAACGTTGCCCCAAAAGGCTCCTTTAAGTGGCCAGTGGGAGAGATGATTGTCCCAGGATGTCCATCCCATGGTTGGTGACTCACCTGACTTGACCAACCATGTCCTCTGAGGGGCTGGAGCTGGTCAAGTTTGGTTCAAGTGGAGGTTGCTCCTCCTTGATGGGTTTCTTCCTGGTCTTGGTCTGGTTTGGCCGACGTGGTGGGTCCGAGTCACTGGAGGAGAACAGGGACAGGCAAGATGATTGAGATGGTTGGACATTGGTTGGATGTGACATGATTAGATGTCCTAGGACATCAGTTGGATGTGGTTGGATGTGGTAGGACATTGGTTGGACATGACTGATGGGGTAGGACATGATTAGATGTCCTAGGACATCAGTTGGATGTGGTAGGACATCAGTTGGATGTGGTAGGACATCAACTGGCCATGGTTCAACATGGCCAGGACAGTGGTTGGCCATCAGTCGGCCATGGCTGGATGTGGTAGGACATTAGTTGGACATGACTGATGTGGTAGGACATGATTAGATGACCTAGGACATCAGTTGGCCATGGCTGGATGTGGTAGGACATTGGTTGGATGTGGCTTGAGACCCTCCCAGTGCAACACCCATCTGGACTAGGAGCCTCTGGTGTGGTTCCCAGTCCAGGGGCTCCTCCCCAGAAGCTCCAGGTGCTCCTCACCTGTCCAGAGATGGGTGGTAGTTCTCATCCCTCAGATCATCAGTGTAGGTGAGGTCATCTCCAAAGTCCTCCTCTTCCTCCTCCTCTTCTTGGGCTTCAACCCCCTGCTCCAACTTCTCCTCCAGGATGGAGGTGCTGCAGGAACCCAACAAAGTCAAGTTGGGGGGGGGGGTTATCATGGAAGATCTCCCATCAAAACCTTGGAGAAGCTGAAGGGATGAGGTGGATGGGTCCAACCTTGACCTTCAGCTCTGGAGAACCCAGTGAGACACCAGGGGAAGACACAGACATGGCACCACTCACCTCTCCTGGTCTTCTGTGGTGGGTCCCATCTCCACGTGGGGAGCTGCAAGGAGACAAGAGGAGCTGTGGCCAACTTAGCTCTACTGGTAGAAGCTCAACTTCTTCTCAAGGAGCTACAAAAAGAGTCTCATCAAGTCTGGATAAGGGAGAAGATCCAAAACTCTTGGAAAACACCAAGAGCTGGATCTCCTTGAGTCTTCTGAAGTGACCTTGAGGTGCTTCCATCTTTGCTTGGATGGAAAAAGGTCTGGGCTTGTTTTGTGGTGGCAACAAGGTTGGTGGGAGATTCCTCCACCTCCTCCTCCAGCAAAGCCCCCAGAGAATTTGGTGGCACCAAATCTGGAGCAAAAGGGGTTGGAGGAAGATCTGAACCTGGTGGGAAGGTGGTCAGAGTGCCCCTGGGACTGGGAGAAGATGGGGAATCGAGGCAGATGAGGGTGGAGGAGCAGAAGATGTGGTGAAGAAGACAAGGAGGAGCTCACCTGTGCTGCCACCACCACCTGGTTCTTCTCCTTGGTCCCCACCCCCTATGGGTGATGAAGCTTCTCCCTCTGCCTCAGTTTCCCCCTTCCTGGCTTCGTTGGCCAAACGGAGCGAGCGCCGGCGGCCGCTGATGGACGAGGAACACCCCAAGTTCTGCCCTTCAAGGTGGTGACCACTTGGGTGGGGACAATCCCAGGGGACACCCCAGGAGAAGCTGTGCCCAGCCACGCATTCCCACACCAGTTGGGTCCCATTGCCCGGGTTTGGGGACTTCACATCAGGGACAAAACCACATTCTTGGCCATGACCATGGGACAAAACCACCAGGCGTTGCAGGGCGGCTGCGTGGAGGACCTTGGGTTCAGGTTCTCCTGAGGGAAACACCAAAAAAACCCCAAGGAAATGGGGGAAAAGAAACAGAAATGGGTCAAAACCTTCCAAGGTTGAGTTGATGATGGTTCTTCATCAACAGGAGGTGGTGGGAACATCTCCAAGGGCTTCCATCCAACTTGGCCTGAGATCTCATCTTCTCTTGGGGTTCCACCAAGAGAAGAGGTTGCAATCCCCCAAAAATTCAAATTACCCCCCCAAAAAAGACACCAGGGACCAATTTCCTCATTATAACGATGCCAAAATTTCAAGTAGTTCCCAAAAACCTTAAATATTGCCCCAAAACCTCCAGTAATTCCCCCAAAAACCCAATATTTCCCCCTCCCAAAAAAACACTGATGGTTGTGACCAACCCCATAAAGCTCTTTTTTGACCCAAATCGATGGGATCTGAGGTGGATTTGGGGGGATCTGAGGTGGGTTTGGGGGGATT